CAGCATTAACACCCTTAGTTAATCTCGCAAGTAGACTTCTTCAAAGTCTTGAATTGAGTATTTTTAGACCGAGGTACATTACCAGTCGACAAAGAGACAAACGGGGGGATAATTCGAGGTGAAATCTTAAACCATGTGATTTACCAGTCGACAAAGAGAAAAACGGGGGGATAATTCGAGGTGAAATTTTAAACCATGTGATTCAACTCCATTGTGAAGTCCGTGGCACCTGTGTAACGCATGCTTTTTTTTAGTTTGCACTCACGGATGTCAGCGACTGTCAGGTTTTGATCATAAAGTGGATCATCAGGTGGAAGTTTCGGGAGACAAATCGAAAATATTCAAGGCTTTGGAGTTGCTCATTCTTCAAACTCGTCAGTGAGTACAGATAATGTCAACACAATATTAGTCAGGCAGAAGCGTAATTGATTAACCAGAGGTCGTCTCTTTATTAATCGACGAGTTTGGCTAACGTAATGCTTCAGTATGCACCGGCTTCTACCTACACCATAAGGTTACAGCCAGGGCGTTCTACCGCCTGCTGTGTGGCCCATCTGCAGGCCGAACGCAAAACAGCAGCAGACGTTGCAATTACATTCCCACTTCGTAGCATGTTTTCAAAGCAGAGCGGTTGAGACGTTCCACATTTTTCAGCTAATTTCTGACAGAACAAGATGCAGAACCCGAAGTGCTATGGCCTTATTTTGACTGTGTCCACAGATGCAACTTAAGTAATACCTCAATGTGTTAAACCCTTTGGTCTAGGGAAGAACGGTTTGCCCGGATAGTCTTTTGTCCATTATCGCCTACCTGCTCCCCGCTACCTGCAAACTACTCCAAATGAATTCTGCAGAGCGCGGCCATCGAAATCTTTATAACTTGGAATTCTGGTACCAAAATTGTTCACTGTTTTTCCATAGAGGAAAATGTTGGTAGCTCAGGTAGCGTAGATTCTCGTTGGCTTGTTCGCTGCGCTGTGCAATCTGATTACAAACGCTTCATTACCAATGGAGGTGACATCATCACTGCTTTGGGGATCGTAGTGGTGCGTAGCGGTGGGTTAGTGGTCGTGGCACAACCACTAGCTCAGCTCAGCGAACAGGCCAACCAGCAGTGTTCTCTGTGGTAGTTCTTATTATTTCACCCTTCAAGAATCCGCAAGCAATATCATTAGCGCTAGCTGCGGATATAATTTCGTGACAACAAGATAGTTTGCCGAGATAAACGCTACTAAATTTTTGTCTGGTTCGCCCGGGTGATTTGGTCAAGTGTTCTACAGGTTACATTAGCCTGTTGTAACTACTGGCATTCCAATGTCTTGTCGCCAAATCGGAGCTGTAATATCAACTTGCCAATTTAATTGATGAAAGCCGTTGCCCCCGAGTGAATATTTCTCAGCTGAGTAGAAATGGAGATTAAGACCACACATCTAGATAACCAAGACCACTTCTGGCACTAGAAATTAAGGAACATTTATCATCCTTGAGCTGATTTGCAGGTCATCAAGAGCAAAATTTGTGCGATTTACACATGGAAACTTCTTGGCCTGAGGTTTACGACTCGCCTGAAGTTTACGACTCCCTATACTTAAAATGCATCATTGCTTAGCAAACGAAAACGAAAGCGAATGATCGCATTATAGGTTCACTCACGTTTTGTAGCAATTCTGGCTAGTCATAAAAAAAGCGGAAATCCTTCTTGACAAGAAAAATCAACCCAGTAATGTCTGCAGTAGTATACTTCTCACCGGTAGCTCACTTTACATCTTAGTTCAACTTTTTGAAATACTTGACTCAGACGGTAGTACAGTCAGGCAAATTCAGCTATTGGACAATTTATGTGACTTGAATAGACCCTTGGCTCACGTTAGTCGTTAGTACGAAACGATGTTGAAATGTGTCAACTCCACGAGTGGTTTATTTCGGACGAACAATTTTTCACGCAACTAAAACCTGATCACCCAATCCACTAGGCCAAAAATTTGCAGCTTCCCAGAAAACAGATGCATCAACTCTTTTGTAGTTATATTAGGCGGGTACATGACCGCGAAATGAATCGGCTGCCGGTTCTTGGGTGTGCATTTTTAAATACGGACCTGATGTGCGATATCGGTGATGGACCATGAGGGGTTAATGAGTTAAAAACCACAAGTAGAAAATCAACAACGTGTTACAAACTGGATATTTCAAGTTTTGACTTGGGCTTTCTGTTTGTTAAAAAGATCCAGGACACAATTGTGGTTAGATAATTAACATCCTCTCGCATTCCGTTTATTTTGCTCTGGAAGCGGCTATAGCTGGATGTACTGGGGTTCAGATTGCGTTCAACTATCAAGAAAAGTCACCATAAAGTTTTCCGTGTCCCGTCTGCGTTTCCCACACTCGGTTTTTCACATCGACCGTGCTACAATCTAGTAAGCCCTCCCGTATACCCTGTCCTACCATTCACGCACTTGACGAAGGAAATCTCTTCTAAATCAACAAATCAAATATTATGGGAAGCCAATGTGTTTGCCTGGATCATGAGTGCGCACATGAATGAGAAAAGCCTCGGATGGCCCCACTAAGATGCTGCCTTTTGCTGCAATTGTTGCACATAGACAAGGGAGGCCAACAACTTTAAACAAGCCCGCATGAGAAAAGATCTTCACAACATCCGTATGTGTACCACAATCCAAAATTATATCCACAGTCGACACAGAACGTCCGTCGGTGCCTGCCAATCCGTGGGCGAGATTGGCGGGTGACTTATTTCTCAAGTGTAGCAGATACAGAAAACATACGAATTTCAGTTTATCCAACGATAGCAGAAGTTTTTGGTGAGTCCCTAGCCTTTGGCGTGTTACACGAAACAGTGTAGCAAAAGAGTGCATCTTCGACGGAATCTGACGTTTCAAGCATACCTGCAATTGGAAAGTCTGCGCGCGGCCGCCCGTTGCTTCTGTCTAAAGTATGATTACACCGAGTTCACATGTGCTTGTTGCACCCGCGTAATGTGTAAACACCTTAAGCAAACTCGGATAATTTCAAGGCTTCACTCACTGCCAGAGGAGATTATGAGAGCCATGGATGCGCTCATTTTTAAGGTAATCATTAATGCGAATGCGCATAACCACAATATTGACGAAACATTTTAAACTTAGTAATCGATCACCGTCACAGACTGTTCGTGACTGGAAACGCTTAGTTTGTGAAGCGAAAGACTTAACCCAATGATTGGTCAATAGTATTCTTTATATTTTGAGGCAATTAATTATGTTGTGTGAAGTACAGTCAATAACATTATCTCAATGATTCTTCTAGATTTTGTCCACCTGGCACCCGCTGAACACTTGTAGGTGCATTGATTGGAAGTCAGTCGTGAAGTGGCTTTACAGGCTGTGCCAGATTCCTAATGAAGCCTTTTGAGGTGCATAACTGCATTCTACTTTTGATGCTGTAATGATGACTATTGCTGAACATGGTTAACGAACTTTGCATTGTTGTCACATACTCGATGAATCACAGTGAAGTGCAGCGCTCGACGATGTGTTTGAATGCAACGATCGCGTACATCTACGTATTTCAAATATATACATATGGATATTGTCCCTACATGTACCCTTACCAAACAAGTAAACTCGAGTAAATTGCGGTTTCGCAAATATCTCTCAAACGAACCATGTGTTCCAACTCAAACGTCAAGGCTTGTTGAGTAGCATAAAACATGACCGGAAATTTCGTTTAGAATGATGGACATGTAATTAAACAATGCTTTACGTGAAGTCACAAGGGTGCCTCTTATCTTCTCTGGGAGCTGTGAATTGAATTAGTCCCCATTTTTATATTGCTCATTAACTATTCAACAAAAATAATTTTTGCTCTCCTATGATTGTTAATTTGGTGGCTGCTGCCACAATATGCCGTGAACATGTAAGCAGTCAGCCCATTAACTACCGCTAAGCTTTCCGCCGACATTTTCCGATAGCAGACATTTTTCATTGAGTCAGTTCAAGGCCCAGCAACTCATATGAGCTGTCCGGACAATTGATATGTTCATCAATATCAGACCGACTAAACTGTCATGTCGTCAGGAAAGCTCTTTATTAAACTAGCGTTTAGGGTGTCAAATTGTTTTCGCTCGAGCATATGTGTTCGGCAAAATTTATTCTTCATTATACGGGAAAATGTTGGGTTGGAGACTCAGGTACCGTAGATTGCCGGTGAAATATTGCATTTCAAACGTTTCATCATCCGTCAAGCTGACATCACCAGCTCACTGTTAGTGATTGTGGTCATAAGCAGCAAAGTTTTCCTGTCTGTACCTTGTGCTAATGAACAACCATACTCTGAATTTTGCCGTTTTACGGTGGTGCCCGAAGACCTTATTTCATTCAGCACCAAATGGCTCTTTTGATTTAACATTATTGTATATTAAATCGTTTAAATTTTCAGCGTCTTTCTTAAGTTTAGCGCGATGTGGAATAGAGTAACCCATTTTTCAGAATTGGCTACGTGAAGAAATGGACAGCACTACCGGTCTGCATTTCCTCCCTCTTGTATCTGTCCTAGCAAGGTAGTGGCAAGTGCGCCCATGCAGAACACTTAGAACTGAAAAACTCCTGTGTAGTGATGAAAAATTCTAAGGTTTGAATTCATTCTCTGGCGTGAAATACTGTGCAGAATGCATTCTATGACGAAACAGGAGGTACCGGATATTTGACAAAAATATAGGATAAGCCAAACGGCTTGCAACAGTTCACAGGTTTGATGATCTTGGACGCAGTCTACGGCCAGAACATAAAAAAGCAGGGCTTCCCATTTGAAAACCGGTGCAAAGTGCTGCAAAATGTACTAAACAACTAGAGTGGAAGAGACCATTCCTGTATTTTATTATCCTCAAGGTACTTGCGTTGAGCTACTTTGAAAATCTATAAACACTATCAGCCGCATAGAAACGTATCCACATTCTTCCACTTCTTAGAATATCGGGCCGGCTACGTGTACTACGCACTGCTGGAAATGAAACGTAGGCCGTTTCCTTCACTACAGCCTGCGGGTTTACCCTATTGGAAAAGTAGCAACAGGGTGTGGAACTTTGAAGACTTTGATATTGACATCAATAACACGAAGTCACAAAACTTTAAATTCCATGGTGGTTTGCATCACTGAGTGTACAACAAACCAAGTCATTAGACAGACTCATGGCAGGTTGCTTCACAGATTTATTCTCAAGAAAGCCGATAAAATACAGGTTCCTACATACATTCAGAACTTTCTCTGGGGGCACTGAGGAATTGTTGATATAAGGGTGGCGTTATGCACTTGTTGTCCTTTCTAAGCACCGTCCCATAATCGGTTAACATCACTTGTTCTAACTGAATCCAATTCTTTACTATGATATTCAAACTAAATGTGCCAAAAAACATTGAAGACAAATCTTTCCAGAGACACACTTGAAGACACGGATGAAAAATGAAACCCAATCAGCAACATAAATTACAGAGCACTGCGCCACCGAGCGTAATCGCCTGAAACACCTGGTCAGTGATACGTCAGGCACCACAAATGAGCCCAATAAATGAAAAGATGTGAAGTACCTGAGCAAGTCAAAATCATTCCTGACCAGTCTATATCGTTAAATTTCACCCAACTGGATCCAAAATATTCTCAGATCTCAAATACAGAAATGGGTTTAGCTCTGGTACGTCGCGTGGCCGATATAAAAAAATATATCTCCAACACTTTTAAATCTAGGATAATGGGAACGATCAGATATATTAACGTTCGCAAGTGTAGGCTAGGATAGCTTATATATTTCTGGCCGCAATCAGTTTTATCTATAATTTTTGCGCCTTCAATCGACAAACTTGGGTTTTTTCTTTCCAGCTGAAGCTTGCGCACCCAGCGTTTATTCCAAAATATCCACCGTAGCCAAACGTATTACCAGAAACACATCCGGCGCACTCCAGTCATGGAAGAATACAATCACGAGGAAGCCGAACAAAAACAAAAACTCAGTACATTCCTTTCAGTGTCGTTGGGGATGTGGAAATTGCTCAAAAGCATGCAATAACCAAGAGGCACGAAGCACGATCACAGTTTTTCACGTACTCCAAGAAAACTTACTTATTCCTTGTTTCACAGTTAACCATCTGCTTGCTTGACCAGCATCAGTAGTTACCTCGCTAAAAAGTACATCAGCTGTATTTTACTCAATAGGTGCGAAGCGCCCTCGTCAAACCACTTGAATCTAGAATTTTCCCTCGCCAAGGGCCAGTGCGACACTTTGACTGGTATCAACGTTCTACGCCATAAAGCAATTGATTCACAATGTTACGAGCTCTGTTCAAAAATGAACATCTCACAGAACTCAGGTTTGTGAGGTTAGATCCTTCATCACAAAAGACGAAATTACCACCAGATGAGTCATTCACAATGAGGTTTTCATACAACCATTTTAGGCAGAGTGTGGCGCGCAACGCATCATCCTACAAAGTCGCCCCTCCAAAAGCGGCCAAAAGGCAATGAAAGTTATTATTGGGAAAAGAAGGAGAACAAGTTCCGAAAATCGTTGACTGCGCCAATACACAGCATTATTTTGTTTTGATAACGCTGGTTTTAGCCACTTCAGAAAATCCTCTGCTGAACAGAGCTTATGAAACATTATTCATCAAGTCGAGCGCCGAAGTCTGTTTGATTCTTTTTTCCTCAATATTCGACATTGGTTATTACATCCCAATATGAGTTAGCTGAAAAGAACTTGCAGAACTGATGAACGTTAACTAGCCGTACGCTTTCCTGAAATCCTGGGGCAAATCGAAAATCTCAGAAAGTGTTTGAGATAGTAACACGCAGCTGACGTCGTTATGTCCTGGATACAATGACAACCGAACAAAAATGGCAACTGATGAGCTCTGTCGTAGCGAACCAGATACATGAACATGCGACTACATTGTTGAGGAAACATGGTCATTTCTACAGTCACCTGATGTAACCGTAATACAAAAGTACAATTTTGATGTATCTTTGCCGCAGAGCACCACGACTATCACAGCAATGGGGAAGCTGCTTGTGGGAAACAAGGCACCCAAGGAGAATTCGAACAGATTGTGGTGCGGAGCCAGCGGCCTTATGTTTCCTAAAAAAGTCACATGATAATATTTTGCGCTTCTATTTCCAGGTTCATATGTCAACTTAAGAAAAGCATATCCAAAATAATTTGTGAATATCCAACATAGATCAAATCGCCACATCCTGATCATGAGCCACAAATCATGGGCTATAAACCTTTGCAGCTTCAACTTACTGGCGTCCTATAAAAGTAGTATAGAATGAAAACGAAATTTCATATAAAGGGATTCTGTCTTTGACACTGACACATGGGGTCTCGCAATATATATGCACGCAAGTATCAGAAATGAGGTTCTGGGATTGTCATTTGATAATCACCTCATAAGAGTGTGAACTGAAAATCGGACGGTGTGATCAACATCATGGGTTTCATCAGTGGTGATGGATCAACACATTCGACAACAAATTGTTGCTTGTGAGATTGCAGGAGTTGGAACTCATATATGG